CGATACCGCCTCGCTAACCTATTGAGGGACTCCCGTTTTCTATGTGATCTGCTATTCCACGAGATTGGCTGCAGTTGGGTGAGCGCAAAGGGGCATGAGGATGGGCACGCGAAGCCGGCGACAAGAATGCGTTTAATGAAAGTCCTGTCGGTGGGTATTAGCTCCTATTGCACGTTTCTCGTTCTCTCTTTTACTTTTCTTTTTTTTTATTTTATTTTATTGCATTTTTTCGTTCTCTGATCGAATGCTTGGCATCTAAAGCATCACGATTATTGCCGCCCTTTGGCACGCCTTTCATTTTTATTCGTTATCCTTCCTTCTTTCCTTCTACCTTCTCCTTCCCCTCCTACCTCCTCCTTCGCTTCCTACCTCCTCCTTTTCCTCCTTCTCCTCCTCCTCCTTCCCCTGCTACCTCCTCCTTCTCTTCCTTCCTCTCCTACCCCCTCCTTCTCCTCCTGTCTTCTCTCACTTCTCGCCACGTTCTTTCTTCTTCTCCTTTCTTCCTTCCTAACCCCCCCCCCCCCCCCAGCGTCTTTCCTGCCCTTCCTCTGCCACCCCCTCACCCTTATTCCTGTCTGCCAATCCTTTCCTTTATCTTCCCTCCTTCCCTTGCCCTCCTCTTCCTTCTTCCCTTCTTTTACTCCCCCCCTCTCTCTCCTCCCTGCCCTCCTGCTGACGCCCTCACCCTTCCTTGTCAATCCCTTCCATCCTTCTACCTTCTCCTCCCCCCCTCCCCCACTACCCTCCCCTCCCCCACGCCCTTCCCGCCGCTGGCTCCTCCCCTTCTGCCCCGCCCCCTTTCTACGGTGCCCGGGCGAAGGAGGAGGAAGAGGAAAGGGAGAAGGAGGGGGAAATGAAAGGGGAGGGGGATGGGGAAGGGAGAGAGAGGAAAGGGGGAAGGGGGCAGAGAAGGGGAGAGAGAGGAAGGATTGAAAGGAGGGAGAGGAGGGGAAGGGAAGAGGGAGGAGCGAAAGAAGGAAAGGTAAATTGCTTCCTCACACTACGAAACCCAACCTTCGTCCAGAACACGCACTAAATTATCAAGCTTTTCTGTCTCCCCATTTCTCTCTCTCTCATTTTTTTTTTTCATTCGTAAATCGGAAAGGTAGAAATGCATGTAACCTTTCCGATTAACGCACTCGCTCGAAGTCTGTGTATCTGCGTCCGAGAGTATTTGTAGGACATGAGCTAACACGGGCGAGCGAGACATTTAAGACATTTTCGAAATACTGACCCGATAGGCGAAGAAGCAGGTCATGTGACCGAACTGGACTCCATGCTCGGCCTCGAGAGGGACTCCAGCGAGAGGGAATGCGGCCGGCCACACTCGACGCCCCGGGGGCTTCGACGGTGAGCTGTGGCTTATTCATGAACAAAGTATTTGCACCAAGGAATGCTGTTGCTGTTATTCTCTTTTTCTCTTAAATCACAATTGTCAACACAAGAGGGGCAGCAGGTGATAGATAAAAATATATTAAGAGCGAACGAAAGAGAGGAAGGGATATATATATATATATATATATATATATATATATATATATATATATATATATATATACAGCGAGAGAGAGAGAGAGAGAGATAGAAAGATAGATAGAAAGGTAGATAGATAGGAAGATAGATAGAAAGATAGATAGAGAAAGTGCGAAACAGAGAGAGAGATCAGACATACAGACAGACAGAGAGATACACAAAGGGAGAAGGAGAGGGATGAAGAAAGCAATATCAAAAACAAACAGAAAGATCACAGCAAGCGTTCCCAGCGCCATCGTAAAGGATAGAATGCAACTGCCTGTAAACTCGACGCAGCTTCTTTTCCTTCGCCGTAAGAAAGGAAGCAATGAAGGAAAATAAATAAAACTATGGAACAGACTGTTGTATATGAAGACATCATCTACCCCTTCTGGTCGGACGGATTTACATGTTAATGAGCCGAAACTCGTAATGGTTTTGAGCTCAAAGAAAAGCAATTTGAATTATGGCACGCGCAGGGGATGTGGAAAGCGGCCTGTCAAAGACTTTTTTTGGACTATGTAAAAGTTACGCAAGTAGCTTTTGTTATTTATTACCGGTATACATGTACAGAAAATAACATATATATCTTATTGGTGTAGTTGTAAACATATGTTTTTGTTTTATACATTTACTACATATATGTGAATATATAAACACAAACATCCCTCACAACTGACAATAGCCTTTTAAAATGTGATTTCTGAGCCACGGTTTATTTCCCGGACGTCAAAAGCACAGTCGGGTCGGGTCATTTGCGAGCGAGAGATAAAATCTAAAACTGGGTCACAGTCATGTTAGCATACGTGCTCTGTATTCTAAAGAGTGGGCGGTCTCAGAAAAAAGTGCGAATTTCTTGCCCTACAATCTTTTATAACTTTATCGTGACATTTATAATATGCACGAATATATAAACGTCACATATAATGTTACTTCCAATAGCTATCCCAATAATATGCACAAATATACAAAAAATATATCCGCCGAT